TGTGGGCAGGCCAACTTGAGATGCGTTGTTGCAGGACCCATGCTTAGTGTTTGCACCTCAGGCCGATTCAGATCACGAGTGGCAAGAGCCCAGCAAATTCTGAGTACTTGCTCACTTGATTTCATCGTGATCTTTTGAGACGCCCGGCCGTTTGCAATCTTCGATAAGTCTGAAGCGGTTTGACTCAGACACTTAAGTATATATTTTTTGTCAAAGGTCTTGAGAATACCTTCAAGACCTGCAGTCTTTAGCAATTGACATTTGCAGACCACTGATTGCTGGGATTTCCGCTTGATTTTGTGTTGTGCGATCGTCGATCACGGAATGATTGCACGCACCCCGTACAGTAGATTGTTGCCCCTTTGAAAGTTCCCAGCATGTGTTCGTTTGCTCGCTTTGGGCATGTTTCGAGAAGCATGCCCAAACTGCGGTTATGGTAGCAGGATGCGGTATTGGTTTCAACTTCTGACGAAAGGCATCGGAATGTGGCCATCATCTGCTTCTGCTGGAAGCAAAGATCTTGGCACGTACTTTGCATTTTCTTTGCTCGGAGATGGCTCAAGCTGCTCAAGGGACTTGCCGGTGGATCAACCGACCAGAGAGACGTAGCGTCGCCTGAGCCCTTTTCTCAATCCGCCGCACCATCCAAGATAAGCAGCCCACCACTGAGACTCTACCCGCGAACCAGCTCAGAACAGAATTTAACCCCAAAGCCTAGAATAACTGAGCTAGCTTTCTTTCACGAGCATCGAAACACTGAGAAAATTCACTCTGCCAATGCTTCCAGGGCACTTCGGGTGCTGGCCTGATCTGCTTGATAACGTATTAAGACCTATTCGACCTACTAGGATCGCCTGCACGATTCCCTCATGTCAGGGAAGTCCTTGGAAACTGCAGTGGATGATCTCGTGTCATCGCGCAGTTGCCCATTGCTGAGCAATTTTTCTCCTGAACACCGGTCGAGATTCATGGTATGTATTCTGGCGGTGATGCAGTTGGCAAGGTTCATCGCGGTGCTGGAGCCCAGTGCGATGCCAGGCGCAAGAGTGCACCGTTTGTACGAGGCCGGGACGCTTGTGAAATTGTGCTCCTACCCATGTCGACTCAGATGAGGAGTCTGGATAAGCTTCTTTTCGTCTCCAGGATGCTGCAGAGCGGATTCTGGAACAGGCCTGGGATCTGTTTTCCGGTACCTTTCAGAGCGTCGACCTTCACCTGGAGCCAGACATTGACCTTAGGATCCCTCAGCCGATGTGGCCATCGTGAGCTTCTCAGGATTTGCGCTGGCGCCCGGCCTTTCACACACTCTGAGTGGCATTGGAAGGTCGGCTTTCCGACAAGCTGGAGAGAAGCAGAGCTGCTCCAACCTCAGACTTGTGAGCTGCGGCCTGCAAACGACTCCTGACTCCATCCGACGCGCTTTTCAAAGCAAAGGGTGGCATGAATCCAGGCAAGTCTGCTTGGGTCCCGTCTGTGACTGCGATAGACTGCGGCTTGTCAAGGTCGGGCTGAGATTTCCTCTGAGTAGCACCCACCAACTCTCGATGCACGGTGCCAGGATCACAGCGGCATTTGGGTGTGCTTGTTACAGACGAGCAGCATTCCTGCACTCCTCGCAGCACGGTGCGCGGAGCTGCTGATGGACGAATGAAATGCGATTTCTTGATGCGCACATGTGGTTGTCAGGCTTAGAACCAGCAATCTCGCAAGAGAAGGACACGGGGATCGTGCACACCGGCCGATATGTAAAGTATACAGTCTGAGTCCGTCCAGCGATTATGCTAGGACTTCGTGTCGTGTTGGCAACCAGGAAAGATTCCGTGCATGAGGTGGGCAAAATTGCACGTCGCCTATGTGGCATTGGAGTGCGGTGCATCCTCGTCCAGGTCCCCAAAGCACTGTCACAGCATCAGTTTCAAGCTGAAGAGCGGGGAGCCCTCCATGGCCTGAGGCGTGAAGCATGCGGTGGCTTGAAACCTTGCTTGACTTGCAATCTAGCAGAACACGTTACAGGTCGCAGACAGAGCTGAATGGCAGTCCGTGCAGTATCGTAAGATACGACCAGGAGTCACATGGATGCTGCATGATGACTCTGGGGCATGGGAGAAGCTGTGAGCTCCCACCTTCCACCGAGCCACACGAGGAGTCTCGCCGATGGCTGGTCCGGCTGGACATTGAATCAGAGGACAGATGCAGAACATGAAGTTGGCTTGGGTGCCGTGAGACTCGGTGCTTGTATTCTTGGGTTAGGGCACCCGGAAAGTTTCCCGCTGCACACTGAGCGCTTGTTTTGTTCAAGCGCCTTGTTGAACAGCTAGGGTCTTGAACGTGGTGCTCAATGCATGGTGGTTGAAACACTATGAAGCAGTTCCTCAGTTTGTAGACACACACACACACACTCTCTTCTGTATGTATGTATGGAAATGTCATGTCTATAAATATACATGAATATATATATATATATATATATATATATACATATGTATATATGTGTGTGTGGGGGTGTGTGTACATTATGTGTGTATGCGAACGTTTATGTGTATGTGACTGTATGTGGTTGAATGTGTGTGTATACGTATACGTATACGTACACTTATATGTATGCGTACATGATGTTAGTGTATACATATAGGTCTAGGTACATGTAGAGGCATAATATGTATTTGTAGGTAGGTAGATAGATAAATGCTCAGATAGCAAGTGGGCAGAGTGTGTGTTGGATTTTGACGAAGATGGAAGTGTTGAAGCGAACAGCTAGCCGCACCATTCGCTAGTTCAAGCGCTGGAGAGCTAGAGAAGAAGCCGTTCTGGAAACGCAAGACAAGAGCGTGGCATGATGGTATCCAGCACTCAGCATAAGAACTCCCAGCGTTTTCCACTGCCGATGCAGGACAACGAAATCCTGGTGTCAGCTGCGAATCTTCTCCCACTCTGGTTACCGGAGCAGGCTCGTTGCAGAACTTCTGTTTGACTTACTCTGCTTTGGATCTGAGAGGTTGGTATGCAAGTAGTGAATCTGTGGCCTGCTGTCGAAAGCCTTCATGCAGTCTTGGCAGGCAGAATCTCTCGCGGAAGACAAAGCAGAGAGCATGCCCAGGGGCGCGGAAAGTGATGGAGCCGACGCAAGAAGCACAGCGGCAGAGGCTGAAGTAGTTGATGATGAAGCATTTGATGGTGCTCCCGATCGCGAAGAGACGGAGAAGCAAAACAACAAAGGGAAAGAGATGTCAATTGACGAAGCCATTGGCGACACCCGGGCAGAAGTACAGGACAAGACCAAGAGATCATCGGAGGGACCAGGACCAAGAAAAGCGCAAGAGGCCGATGGCGATGCTGACGGGGCCGAGCTCGCGAAGCTTGGGAAGGGTTGGGTCGAATTTTGGTGGCGGCCCTTGTCCTGAGGGTTTCTACCGGATGGAGAAAGAGCTTTGTGGGCTTGGGGGACGCTTTAGCACTTCAGCATGCTCTCGCCAGGAAGCTACTCCAGCTGCACCTGCTTCCAAGGCGCAAGTTTGCTGCTCGATGCCTCTCATGCTTCTGCCTCGCTTGTCTTCTGCGTCACTCTGGTGAGATCGTCGGAAAAAAGGCAGTCCCAAAAGCTATGCACTCTTCATCTCCAGGCGAAAGCAGGGAAGGGGACAGTCAAGATGTCTCATGCCGCTGGCTGAGCGCGACTTCTGCAAGCTACGTATTTTCCCGTGGCAGCTTGTTTGGGGAGTTCTCTTTGTCTTGCTGAGTCTTGCTCTGCTTGATTAGGCGCTGGTTGTTACTGGATTTCCACTCTGGGATCTCCAACAGATCACCCAGTTCGCCCACGGAAGGTGAGAAGGTGAGCCAGAGAATTGCATCGCACGCATGGGCAGGTACTTCGCTCGGTTCGGTGAGCTACGCACCATCTTGGGCGCGAACAAAAACAAAGGTGGCAAGAGGTCCGGGGTCCGGCTCCGCCTTGCCTTTGGTCCGTCGCCTTCGTCTTATGCACGGCAAGCTGTTGAATCTGTCGGCAGGAAGCTGCTCGTGGCTTACTGCCGCAAAGTAAATGCGAAAAAGAGCCAACAGCACGTCCATGGAGCAGAGGCAAGTATGCATCAAGTTTGGGTGATGTGACCGCGTAAATGTGCAGTGCTGTAGCTAGAAGTACTTCGGAGTCAAGCTGAAAGTTGACAGAAGAGTTGGCCATCCGGAGACATGGTGTGGTTACGACATTTTTGTCGCTTCCGCGCCTTGCAGATCGACGGAAACAAGCTCAGCGCCGTCTTTGCAGTCAGACCCTCAGTTCTTGCTGAGCCGACAGGCGCCAGGTCAGTGCGAAACTCCGTCTATGCTCGGGGTGAAATTCTAGTGCTGTCCATCTGACTCTTCACAGAGTGCGAAGATTTTCGACGGCAAGCCCAACTGAGCCGAGCAACCGAACACTCGACACAGCCGAAACTGAAGTTTGCCGACTCGACGAGGGAATTACGCTAAGCCGGGGCCGAGCAGTACGAGCGCAGGACGACTCCAGCTTTGCCAACAGACAGCAGGCAGAGGGTTTCCGCGGGGCTGCACTGCAGAGCTTCACTGAGAGGCTGCGAGGCGAACGGAACGTACTGTACTGGGTGCCGCGTTGTTTTCTTTTGCGGCTGTGTCAGGAAGCGAAAGCTGCGGCACGGCCAAAGAACAACTCGTAAGAGGGCCGACCACAGCTCGGGGCAGATGGCCCCATGCTATCTTGCGGAGAAAAGTCAACCGGGCACTGCTTTGCACGCCCACAAAGTCTTGTTATATCTTTGCTGTGTTGGCAACACCACAGTCTACGCTCTGACGTTGCCGACGTGCCTCTTAAGCAAATTCAAAATATTCCAAGCATGAGCATGTCCACATGGTCTTCGTTTCGTGCGGTTATTGGTAGGTTCTATGCTCATTTCTGTGAAAAGTCACTGCGGCTGACGGCACAAGATGACACAGGTGATCCACGGACTAGCTTCTCCTGTGTAGCGGCTGCCAAAGCTTTTGCTGCCATGATGCGCAGAGCTTCTCTCAGCTACTTCGGCTCGGGTGTTTGATTTCGACTGACATTGGGATGGCTTCGAAGGAGTAGTTTTCCGAAGTAGATCAACCAGACGCCCAGACTTAAACGAAGTGTGGCAGCCCGCATTTGGATCTGGTGCCCACATAAAGCTCCAGTGTTGTAGACGAGCAAGACGTCAACATGATCCGGCGTGATGAAATAATCATGATGCCCCCCTATGAGGTGTTCTACGAGTTTACCTTGTGCTCTTCCTCAACCTGAAGGTGAATGCATGGTTTGTTTTTCCTGCCGTGCGACTCTGCCATGCGGTATGTGCGCAGGGTTTGAGAGCAGCAGGGCTTCTGAGGCAGCCCTGTACTTCACTCAGATGGCAGTTTGAGTCGTACTCTTGCCACGGCCCTGCGATGCCAAGGCCCAGCGGGTTATGTACAGGTGGCCCCGGTGCACTTCGACTGTGCCAGGCCTTGATGCCTTGAGACGTTGCCCTGAGCGTCGCTGTCGTTGCCCTCGCTGCGACACGTGAGGTCGGGGGCGGCCTTGGAAGCCAGATATCTTGCCCCGGCCGGGGAGACGAGCACTGTCTAGCTCCCGGCCGCGTGAAGGTAGTGACCAGGTAGCGGCTGCGGTGTGATGAGGTCTTTGTGCTGCCTTTGGGCATCACGGACTTCGAGGCCCAGAATCCTGCAGAATTCATATCAGGTTCTCATTTTGATATCTCCACAGGTCTCCTTGCAGCCCGAAGTTCCTGGTAGTAAAGTGGCAGCCTGGCAGCGACATATTCCGAGATCTTCGCCTAGGAGAAGAAGCAACTCTTGAATGCCTCGAGGATTGGCTCGTCACGCTCGGAAACAAGCAGCTTGTCGGGTGATGACCTCAAAGGAGGTTATGTGTCAGGCCCTTCCACAAAGGAACCCTGCAACATTGCGCGAGTTGTTCTGACTCATGGCCCGCGGCTGACAAACCAAGGCCGTCAGCCGGAGTGGTGGACGATCAGAGGACGCCCAGTTGTGTCTTGCTGACAGGAAGCTCAAGGCTCTATGTCTTTCAGATGACGGCCAGGAGATTCGGAAGTGATGAGGCTCACAAAGCGAAGGAATGCATGGTAATAATGTCGAGTTACGGTTCACTCAGGTTGTCGCTTGAATTTATCTGGCACAGCCCCATGTTCAGGGTCTGCAGATCAACTTCTCCGGGAGCAAGGCGGGTTCAAGCCTGCCATCTTATATGACTCGCACCAAGTTTCGGGGGACTCTTTCCGACAAGGCAGAGACAGAGAAAGTTTCATTCAAAGGGACCACTTTAGCACCTTTGACATTCCAGGCGACCCCGGCACCTATGCGAGTCTTCGCATGTCTGTTTGGCTGCAGCTGGACGCAGGTGCGGAATGGGGATTTGTACCCACAGCTTCTGCATCTTGTGCTGCAGCCTTACAAGGCACGCGAGTCCCAAATGTAGCGCGCAGCTGCAAGCTGACCAAGGTATCGCTATGCCAAGGCCGGGGCGGTACGCGCAGGGAGCAAATGATTCAGCATATGAATATCGCATACACAGCCCAAGCCGGTCCATGCTCAAACTAAAGCAACCGTGGTCTTAGACTTAAGCTGCGAGACCGTGCTTCATAACATGAAGCGACTCCGACAACCAAGCAAGCTTTCCGAATAAGTGGGCCTGGCATTTTGCCTGCCGAAGTCGAGTGGCAACTGCGCATGGCCCTGGCAGCAGACCAAATCGTCCCACGAGTTTTGCTGGTGCATCCGCCAGTCCATTGAAGCTGCAACCCGTGTGGGTGGTCGCTTTGTGGCCGCGTGGCCTCTGAATCGTGGCCAGGGCTGAGCACTACATGCGCACGTACTCGTATGCTGTGCAACTTACCAGGCAACTCATACAGCAATGTCAAGGTGGCACAGTCAGAAGCTCTTGCACCCGCTCACAGCGTGCCCATATCTCTCGCCATCACAAGCCAAACTTGTGAGTGGACCAGTCTGTGGAATGCTACTCGGAGGTGGAAGACTGCAGCAGGGCAAAACTTACTGCCTGCAAGCATCTCTGCCGCAAGAAACGCCCAAAGCAAGGGTTGTAGCAAAGTTGCTCATGTGGCTCCTCCCTGAGGCAGTACGACACTTTTGCGGTGCAGCGGGCCGTGGTGGATTGGAGTTCCTGGCTGCAGGATCAACACTGAGCAGCTTGAGATGCTCTCCCGAACCACTCTATTGTACTCGTATGTTGAACTCAGCGTCAGGACAAGTACAGGGGCAACCTGAACACGGCCTGGAAGGACGGACCCACTCTCCACATTATGCTGGGATTGATCAGTGATTCATGAAACTGTCTCGCAATCGTTATCGGGAGTCTCATACGGCAGCTTGACAACGTACAGGACAAGAAAAGGCAAAGATCACAGACTCACGGCTTCAACATGCTGCAAACGGGGGGGCTCTCTGTGTTTAAAAGGGCCAAGTCACGACAGAAGGCCTGAGCAAAGACTGCAAGGGGCGGCGTGCATCGCAGAAGTCGCCAGCCAACGAAGACGCTTCAAGACTTCTGTGATTGCAGTGCAAACGTACCTGCATGATGGTGCATCTGGGGAGAGTTACTCCAGTTGATGGCCATGCAAGTCCTTTAAGATCGCGGGAGGAAAGAAGAGACAAAGAAAGACAAACACACACGTTACATGCTGAGCCACAACACCGCGACATCCTGGATCAAGATGGCGTGCATCGCGTGCTGTCTTCAGAGGTGAAAAGTTCCCGAAGCGGGAGTGACGCTAGGGAAGGGTTGTGAGACATCACTTCCTCCTTCAACATCGACGGTCGCTTCCATTTTGCACAGTAAATCTGGGATTGACATGTCTCGATGTTTTTTGTGGCTACATGCCGAACTGCCGGTTGGTCTTTAGTGGCTCAGCCAGTGCAATTTCCATTCCAGGAGCTTGCTGGTCCCATGCTGGAGGTGACCGGAAGTCGCGCGAGAGTCACGTGAGCTGAAGCTGAGAGTGGCGAGATGTGGCGAGGCCGGTCCCGACGGGGAAATGGCCGTTCCTCGCTGCAAGTGGGACTACGTGCGCCCCCCAAAACTGTCGCCGAAAAGAGCAGGGAGAAGGAACTGCGGAACCGCCGCTTCAAAAGTGAGGTCTGGGGCTCCTGGCCCGGCTCCAAGGCCCAGGCAGAGAGCAACGCCTTCGGGGCGTTCGCGGGGCGTTCGGCGCTTCCCAGCAGCGGCCTTCCGGCAGGCCGTGTCTTCAGCCGAAGCCTTTGCCTATGTCGGCAACGGAGCACCCTTGGTGACGAGGCCGGAAACCTCTTCGCTCGAGTAGGACGTACGCGCGCCTCACCCACAGCGTAGCCAAGCCAGGGCCACCTTCGAAGAGGCTTTCAGATTGAGGGAGGCAGGTGGGACTGCGTGGGATCCCATGTGAACATGCGCGCGAGGGACCCTTGCGGCACCGAGGTGCAGGATTTGGCAAGGAGCTGCTCCATAAAGTTAAAGCAGACCTTCGGTACTGCTGTCCCCGGCCGAGTTTGTTGTCAAAAAGCCCTTTTAAAAACCTGCGGCAGAGATTCAAAAAAGCCATGGTTTCAGGAAAGAGCTTGGCAAGATCTGCAGTCGCAGTCCGGACAGGCCGGAACTGCCCTTTTGGGTCATCGGCTTGCGCGACAGCTCTGTGTGCAGGACCGCTTCGCTGAACAGTGCGCTGGCTCCAGTGGGAGTGCTGCCGACACATTCTTGCTTGCGAAGAGTTTCGCGTTGAAGGGCTGACAGCACAAGATCTCGTTTATATGACCGCTTCTGGAAGTGGCACCCTATCCGATTTTCTCATGCGGGCTCTCACCTAGGTCCTTGGTTTCCACACCCCCAAAAAAATTCTGCTAGCACTTCGATATGCTTCGGCACGTTAGTGTTTGTGGTTCATGTTTCCAGCGTGCCACGACAAGCGCTGCCGTCGAATCATCTTCTGTCAGGGATCATGCAGACTCGGAAGTTCCTCTTCGGCGGCCAGGCCATCTGTTAACATGGGCAGACAGTGGACTTCGATTCAGTGCGGCCAGGGTGACTTCAGCGAAGCTCAGCAGGGGGCTTGTGCACAGTTGAAGTATCCGCCGAAACGTCTGAACTTCGTTTCTGGACACGCCGTACTGTGACGCAAAGGGCAGGGCGGCCTGCAATGCTAAGGTTTCGGCTCCTCTGGAACGAGCTGAGTCCCTGTCGGGGTCTTGAGCGATTTGGGCGGTCAAACTAAGCTTTTGTGCTACTGGGTCATGCATGGGAGCGAGGCCCAGCGAAGCACTACCGGAAGACACCGCTCCTCTTTTCCTGTGCGCCTTGTAGGAAAGGGCTGGGGAGGAGGCTCAAGGAGACCGCTTTGTTTCCCAGGCAAGCCTGGCTCCGGGCGGGCGAGGTGCAGAGTCGAGTGAGGATTAATTCCAGACATTGAAGCCTGCAGAAACACTTGCAGAGGTTAATGGTCTCCAGCCGGCGAACGGAGAAGCTAGCGGATATTCCAGCAGGTATCGCTGGGTCCCTATTATTTCTTTCTCATGATCGCACCAGAAGGCGAGGGCAGCGTTCTCAGGTCAACCTGCGAATTGCGGCCCGGGCGAAAGAGGACTTCGCTGGCTGCATCTGCATGGTCGTTATGGCTGATCAATATGGTGTGGTATGCCATGTTGATTCGATTGCAGAGGATGTTGATCTCATGCTCTTCGATCCAGTTGCTCAAACTTGGATCGTCAGGCGCTGTCTAATATGCATATTATACCTTGACAGATGTATTACAGCTCCGTTGATCTCAGGTGGCAGGGAGGCCTTCTGAACAAGAACAAGCGAACAGGGACCGGGGTAAAAGACAGAATCGAGTCGCAGCATGCACACAGGAGGCACAGGTAAAGGGCAGTGGATCCTTGCATCAATTCGCAGTGCTACAGAATGCAGGCAAGACGAGCACCCCTGGAGACATCATGTCACGTAGTGGCAGGACCTATGCCGGTGTGACTTTGAGCTTCAGCGGAGATGTGCCGAGCCCATTGAGCGATGATGGTCTGCCAACGGGGTTTGTTTTCAGCCGCAGCTAAGGCCGATGCTGAAGAAGTCATCGAGATGAGGGGAACCTTGGACCGGCCGCTGATAGTCGAGGCAGAAGTCGCCCTTGCACTTTGGAGACTGGCTTTGTTTTGCTTCCAGACTTGGGAGGTCAATAACTTCGGTAAGACCGCCGCTGCAGACTCGGCTACTCGCTTTGGCAGCGCAAGTCGCCCCCCCCCCCCCCCCCCGCGCGCATTCACCGAAATGCCCAGGCCACGATCGACGTCTCGTGTCACGGCTGCAGAATCTTCGTCTTGCACACCTCAAGTGCCTGACGGGAGCATACCTACGTTCGGCGGAAGGTCATCCTGGGAGCGCATCCAAGAAGACCAGTGCCCAACGGTACCGCCTGGATGTGCAGGCTGGGGAGCAGAAGTTTGTGAAGCCGTGCACTGCATGTATGTTTACTCATGTTTTCTGGAAAGCCTCGTCCCTGCAGCATTCGATGAGCACCGAACTCGTGTGGCCGCGAAGAAATTCTCAGCCTGGTTGGCTTCGACCTACGAAACCGAGGAGACATCTGATGCCACATCGCTGATGAAAGTCAACCGTGTCTTCCTGTTGGCTTCAGTGTGGCACATCGCTTTGATGTGGATTCTGAAACCAGGAGAAGGCATGGGAAGGTCTTCGTCCTTCCTCCGGAAGCAGCGGTCTCGGCCGTCTTTAGGCTGTATTTCCAGCATGGCAGCGACGCACGTGGCGCACGTTGTCAAGGTCTTTCAGCTGCAGCTTGCGGCCTAGAGCAGGGAATGTGACATGGGTGACACAGCATCCAGACAGTGCAGGCAGAAGGCATCCTTGGTTTGCTAAGGTTCCCTTCCATGACTGGAAAGGACGGCCTGAGAGCCTATGCCCTGCTCTTTGCTTGAGCATGTTCAGTGAAGGACTCTGGCAAGCATGGCCATCCCACGGCCTGGGTGGAGTTCCATGGCAGGAGCCGAGTGCTGTGGTGCCTTGCCTCGAACCTCTTCTTGAGGGTACCAGCTCGTACTAGTACTGTTTGGAGGAAGCCTTCCATCTCGTCGACAGGGACAAAGACGGCGTGCGGACCCCAGAGCCCCCTGAGATGCGCCAGTCTGGTGTCCATGTTCTTGGTTAAGGCTGTCTCCTCCCTGGAGTCGGGCCCCTGAGCCCGTGCTAACATGCCCCGCCATGCTCCGCTCGCATGCAGCGTGAGTGACACGTGGACTTCTCTGCAAGGTTCCGACGCATTTTCCACCTCGGCACCTCCCAGGCCTCCAGCTGAAAGCCTCTTCCCCCACGCGCGCAGCTCCTGGGAGTTGAAAGGAGCTTGTTCGCAACATGTTCCTCGAGGCCTGGCCTGTTGCAGGTTGCACGGCCTTCAAGAGGCTCTGCAGTGTCTGAAACCTGGAGACGGAGGCGGCCGAGCATTGTTCTTCGGATGCCTCGGCGGAGTGCTGGCAGAAGGCGACTGCCGCGAAGTAGCAGAAAGGGCGCCGCATCCGGTTTTATGGGGGGCAGTATGGGCCCCTCGTCGGCTTCCGCAATCTTCTTCCGTCTTCTCGCAAGGCCGCCCGAGCCGCCGGTGGACAGCAAGAAGTCGGCGTCTTAAGTCTGGATGATCCATGTCAATGTGTCCCCTTCGAGAGGCTTCTGTCGAGAGATAGCACCAAGCCTAGCCATATCTCACTCTCGAGTCTCGAGTCATGCTCCTGCTTTCACTGTGCCGTGTGTTGGGTTGGGCCACAGCTGCTTCGCAATGCCGTATGATGCCGTAGGTTTGTTCTTCTGTCCCTAGCTCATGTAGGTCAGGTGGCATCAACTGTGAACGCAAAGTAAAGGCACATGCCACCTGTGGAGAGAAGGGCCCTCGCCGACGGGCAAAGTACGAACCTGTTCTGGAAAGGCAAGGAAAGGGCTGTTTGAGTGCCTCTGGCCTCCGGAATGCGAGGCTCAACACATGAAAGATCATGGAAGTCTCATAGCAACTTACAGCATTGTTTAGTGTAGCAAAGGGAGGAGCCTAAAGCGCTGCTCAGGGAATCTCGCAGCGACAGTGGGAGCAGCTCATGCAGAACTACGCTCTCCAAGGCCCGTTGGATCGGGGCTACAGCCATTTCCGCCGACCCTCTAAAAGCCACAGCGGACGGTTGAAGCTTGGAGAGAGAAACTGCGCGGCATTCCAGGGAGGTGGATGGCGGGAGAGAAGCGGACACGAAGTTGGGAAAAATCGCGCAAAGGCAAATGGGGGCATGGGGGGTTGGAGGAAAATCTGTGAAAGCCCTTCCCCGGCGCTCGCCTGCAGCTTGCCGGGTCGGATTCTTTCAGCTGAAGATCCGGCGCCAGGTGTGCTGCCAGGAGGTGATCAGGCCTGCCAAAGGTGGCAGGAGATGAGGCCGGACCCGTGACGAGAGAACCAAGAGCTTTTGTGGAGCTTCTGCATTTAGACAGGGCGTACACCTTCAGACATCGGGGGCAGCTTGACGACCAGTGATCCCCTGAGTCTGAGAAGACTGGTTTCAAGTTCATGGCCAAACCGTCTCAATTCAGGTCCGCGCTCGGCAGTGCTGAGTCACTGGGCATTGTCATGGGCAGCTTTACACTGCTGGCCCGGATATGGGCAGGAGTCCCCGGCGTTGTTTGCACAGTCGGCGTCGCAAGCAGCACAATGATAAGCACTGCTTGTGATATCCGTTGTTTGCTCGCCCGAAGGAGCGTTCGAGAGCTCACTGACCCAGGCCGATCGCCTTCGGAGCACAGGTTTGTAGCAAGTACGGATGTGCGTGGCTTTCACATCGTTCCATGGACTCTGACGTCATGAACAGGCTGCTTTCCGAACATCGGTTGGCTCCGACCAGTCCAGATCACAGCCCTTTCTGCAACTATCAGCAAAGAGGTTCATTTTGCAATACGAGCAGCATGCAAAGGATCAGAGAGAAGCTGCATGTCACAGCGAAGCTGCTTTAGCCGAGATCGTCAAACGGTAGCAGCCTCTAGTCCCTGCGAGGCCAGGCCTGTTCGCTGGATTGCAAGGCTGGTGACTCTTCAAATCGACGGCGATGTCAGGAAAAGCTCACCTTATATGACCGAGGCGGGCAGCTGGCATTCTCCTTTGGAGATCAGATGTCCGCCTGCAGAACTGAGTACAAGGCAGGATCGTCTTGACTTGGAGGTCTGAGGCTCGTCGAGAGTCGAACTCGGAGCAAGGTTCCTGCAGACACTTGGTTGGAAGTGGCGTGGATCTACGATGCATCGAACGAGGTGCCGGATGTGCACTGGATTTTTCCCGAGCCAGCCTCTCCATCTAGCCTTCTAGCTTGGCTTCTTCAGAGGAGCAACGGATCTGGATGAACGGCGAGGAGATGAAGGTCGCAGACTGCGCGGCTTTCCTTGAGAACCAGTGGGCATCTCTTCGCCGAGCTAATCTACTTTGCATGCCCGAGCTGAGAGTCTGGGAGGCCTGTACGGGAGCAGCTCCCTTCCGCGGCTTCGGACAGCAGGCATCCTCGTGAACATCAGGGACAGATGCCTCAGCATCGCATCGTCGCATGGCATTTTCTGGCAGGTAGCAGCAGGCGAATTGCAGTCAGCCAAAAGCCGGCTGCCAGTCTGCACTCAGGCTTCAAGCTGCAACGCCCAATCTGCTTCCGGTGGTTCTTGGATGCTGAGGCTGCGGAGATTGACGTCTCTCTTCGTGTTCCCCGAAGCTCTGGAGACAAAGGCATCTGCTGCCCACGAAGCAAGCGAAGTTTATCAAAGCAGCGCACGAACGGTGAATCTTGCTTGTGTCTGGTCCGCAAGCTGTGGATAGCTGATGACAGGATATCGCTGCAATCTTTTCGCAAGTTCCACTGTCCAGTTCTGCATCGCTTAGCCCGCAACTCAACTCGCCGCAGTTACGTTGTCTTTGACTTGCTCTACTACAGTATTAGCTATTGTTTGTTGCTCAGGTGGAAATGCCGGTGCAACAAAGGTGGGTCCGGCTTCTCAGCTGGGCATAGACGGAGGCGGCACACTTTGAGCGACCCAATGTTGAGAAGTGACTCATGCCGGTTACATGTTTACTAACTTCAGGAAAGCAAGTATTTGCTGCTTTGGAGGCTCTTTCACCATCACGATGCAGCTTCTCAAGACGGAACAGGCACTGCAAAACCAGAGTGCAGATGGTTAGTTGCCTGGTCTGTCACTGGTTCAGGCAGCCGACGGCGTGATCATCTCTTCAGTCCAGGCCTCAGCTGCCCCTTGTTTCGCTCGGCTTGAAGACAGTGGACAGCAGGGTGCGATGAGGTGAAGGACTCGGATTCCTCGCCGCCTGGGCTTCTTTTAGCAACGCGCGACGGCAGCCTGCAATCCGTGGTCCTTGAGCAGATCTGCCAGGCGGATCTTCACGCGATGAGTGCCGTTTGCTGGTGCCCGTGCTGTCTGCAGGCAGAAAGTCCTCTGCCCTCTGGACGATGGGTGCAAGTGGCTTTAGTTTTCGATGCGCAGCATGGTTTGCAGCGCATTTTCCAGGAGAGAGAGAGAGAGAGAGAGAGGAGAGATCCGCTCATTGATGTATCGTGTGGAAGAGTGGCATGTTTGCAGGATGGGAAGCTGGCAAAGATGTGTCAGGTCCAAGTTTTCAGATTTTGGCGAAGTCTCATTGTCGAGCAACTCGCTGCTCCAGGTGTCCCGACTTCCTGCAACCAGACTTGGGAACGTGGACTTGTGGCTGGGCAAGGGCAATGTCGATCAGAACGGTGCCTGGTCTGAAAAGAATCGGCAGTTCTTGCAGCAGTCTATGTCAGCCGCAAATTCGTCCGAGGTTGGCTTGGCCAGATGAAAGACCTACAGGTATTCTCGCACAGCGAATGTGCAGTCAACCTCCAGGTGACCGCGCACGAAAGTCAGAAGCAAGCCGTTGAGTGCGTGGGGCCTGCTGAGTGCAGGAACTTGCTGGTGGCATTCGACCTAAGGTGCGCAGATGCCAGTCACAACTTCTCATGGTTCCTTACCGAACAGTCCTGTGGAGGAGAGGCCTGTCGTGGACCTGTCGGATTTCGAGGCCTTGGTGCTCGCGGTCTAAGCCCATCAACACTGATGCTGGTACCTTCACTTACGAGTGACGACCCCTTCCAGCACTGCCTGTCTGAAAGGAATCCTTCAATTCCCTAGATGCTGACCGAAACGGACGCATCAGTGCGGAATCTCGTACCAAATTGCGAGGTTTGCGTAGCTTGCCACGAATGTTTGACCAGCGACCCACGAGCCACAAGACATGCTGAGGATGAATACATGAATGGGCTCGGCGCCGTCAGCCTCTCTGTGGCAGCGAAGAAACATCCTCAGGGAGGCCTTTTGCCAGCGCCTGCGCCGAGCAGTCAGCTTGGTGTCCCGAAGCTTCAGGCACCCAAGGCGACCCCATCTCCCAGACAGGTGTCACCAACACAGCATCCTGCCGAAAATTTGTGGGTGCCGGGTCCTGCCAGTGCCTCGAACATCATGTTGGGCACTGCAGGAGCGCATGACCAGAGTCCACCAGCAACGCCCAAGCCTCTACAACAGGTGCAGAGTCCATCTGCGGCCCTCCCGCTCAGTCCTTTGAATCGTGACCCTCCGCAAGCACCCTTCAATCCGTTCTTGTCGGCGTCTTCACCTCTGCTAGCATCCTCGACACAAGTCACGACCACGAACCTCCCCCAACCCCCGACAACACCAGAAGCCACTCCCAACCTTCTTGCCACACCCACTCAGCCTCCTCCACTTTCGACAGCCGAAGCTTCGCGCCCAAGTGCAACTGACAGTCCTCTCAATCAGGAGGCTCCCAGCTCCTTTCAATCCCTTTGCAATGCTGACCACGGCAGCTGATCGACGAACCACGAAAGCTTTCTTGGCACCTACAGCAGCTCCTGCGGCGATCCCCACCACGGTCACGGTCACTACAGAGATTCCCGAAAGCACAGCACTGCGAGAAAGCTCCACCTCGAGCTTTCTGGCGCCAGCGCAGGGACAGGCCACGGTAACTCCGACGGTGACGTTTCCCCCTAGCTTCAAGCCTGTGAAGCTGGGGATCCCTGGAGGTCTGTCGGTGGACCCGCTTGACATGCATCCCGCCGCACTTCCCTCGGAGCGCAAGTCCGTGAGTCCCAGCACCGCCAGCACTACCGCCAGCAGCGCCGCCAGCACCACCGTAGCCTCCAATGGCATCGATCTCGGTTCTATGTTCAAGCCCTTTGGAATGTTCGAGGACCGCTCAGAGCTTCATTTGCACACGTCCAAGTGGCGGCACCTGGTATTTCTGTCCATGGCCGCCATGGCAATTTCGGCTTCGAGCTTCTCAGTTGTTTTGTGGCTTCGGCGCATGCGCTCGCAGCGTGATGCTTGGGACACAATTGCCGTCGGAGGCGAGATGGTGCGGTTGGTTAGTTGAGCGGATATCCGGATTGCCAGCAGAGCCAACGGACTGGGAGTCTGGGAGGCTGCGACTCTGACGAGAAGACTGACTGTGCTTCACGCGCCCACGGAGCTCCTGACAGAATGGTCCATCTCGATGCCTCTCGGCCTGCCTGGCCTGCCTCCGAATTAGTCACTCTGTGATCCAGGCTGAAATCTGCCGGTGACGGAAGTTTGGCAAAGTATCCAAAAGTACTTCCACGAAAAGACCTCAACAGTCCGAGCTGCTTACTGGCTGCTTTTGCACCGGCAAGGCGGAGAACACAGTGCACGTTTGGAGCTGCGAAGGCTTTTTTCCCGCTGTCATATCAAGGTCAATAGCAGTACCCTGCCCCGTTGGGAATCATGTCGCAAAGCAGCACAACCATTGTTCCCAAAGCAGAGCGTTGGAAGAACTTCACCGAGGGATATCGTAAGCGCCAAGCCCGGCCTCTGTGCCTCTGCCAACATGCAGGCTCAAGGGGCTCCAACCGGCGCAGACTGTTGCAGTTTGCCGTTTGAATGTGCTTGGCAGAGCGGCTGTGGGCAGACACTTCAGCTGCTAATGATTCTCGGAGCGTTGTTGCAGGCCATGTCGGCGATGGGCATTAGTCCGTGGCAGCAAATGGAGGCAAACGATGTCATTCCACATGTTGGACGGATGACGTGCCCTTCTCTCTTCCTGTCAGGCTCAAGGCTCGTTGTGTTGGTGCCACGTAATGTCACATAACTTGTTAGGGGAGTACGTGCGGGCTTTGTTGGTAGAGGTGGATGGCAGCCATGTAGGATACAGACGGGCGGTGCATGCAGAACAGAGGGTCAAGTTCGATTGTCCTTTCTGTTGCAGGCGGTGAACGCTGCAAGCGGCATAGCGCAACGTGCGCAAGAAGCAGTTCAGGATACTGCAGGACAGCTGAGTTTCCGAACCACCCCCGCAACGTTGCCGTTCAAAAAGACGGAAAACGTTGCAGCTGTGCAGGATTGGTTTTCGGCGAGGCCTGTCCCAAAGCACGCCAGTTGCGCAGGGCATTGTGCAAGTCTCGCTTGGGCGTCAGTCGTCGGACCCCGTGGCAACGGCTCACAAAGCTTTGAACTCAGCTTCCAGCGAGTCAACGACACGACGACACCTCATGAGCTCCGACGTGTCTCACATCCTTGGGGCCTCAGCCTCGCCTCCTGCAGGAAGCTGCCGTGTCCGCTCCCAAGCGTTGAGATGCCTCGCCTCCTGGGAGTTCTTTTTGCTGCAGCAGTTGGAATCATCGTGCCATCACTTGCCAGAAGAAGACCTGCAGTCGACCCATCGTCTGCTGGACACGTTTTATTTGCGGTTGACTTGGAATCTGTGGGTCATGGAAGCCAGCAAGTGCTTTCTTGTCCGGGGGTTTCTTTTTCCATGCATGAGAAAACAGGCATGATGGGTGTAGTCGTCCCTTTGAACTCATCAAAAGCAAACTGCTGACTTGTGTGCACTTTCTCATCGCGCCAGTGCAATTTCGAAACGCAAGTGGCGGCTTTGCATCCATCATGGCAGGGACCGTGCCAGTGACAGTGCAGGGGCAGATAGCATGCAACGTTTTTGGATTTTTTTTATGCGAAGGACATGCCTGCAGAACCCACCTTGCTGGAGGTGCACTTGGAATCATTGCAGAGAAGTGTTCCATTCAGGCATGACGTGCATTGGTGCTGCTTAGAGAGGTGACTACGCAGGTGAACTCTGAGAGGCAGGAGAGGCATGTCAGCCCTGCCGTGCACTGAGCCCATAGTGGTATATGGTGGGATACTATATTTGCCTTATTCGTCGTTGGATGCAGCCAGGTTTCGGTAGCGTCCGAGTATCCAGTGTGGGACTTCAACGTACCGGCCTCAGATGTACAGGCCACAGATCCCAGTTGGTGTCCCATGTCTGCCAGATGGAGTTTGACGTGGACCTGTACAGCGGGAGGTACGAATTCCGCTGTTTAGCTCCCCAACCCATGAAAGTTTCCAAATCATGGAAGGCCGCTGAACGTGGAGATCAAGGCCGTGCGCATCGTGTGCTGCAGCGAGTGCGTAGCATGTGTTGGCAGGTTATGTCCGCCAGGCTTTTCGGCCGGCGCCACTTGTGCAACTTCGATGCACACATCCAAACCGTGTGACAGTTTCAACATGGTTTGGGCGCATCACCGCATACCATCCGTTGGTCTGTTGGTCCCGCCTCTCGCCATGTGATTCCTTTGCATGTCCAAGTTTCGGGCTCTCTCAGCGCGGCGATGGGATCCAACGATGTGCGGCGGCAGGTCGGGCAGATGTGTAGACCCATGGCGTGTAGACTTGCTATGTGCTTATAACCTTGAGCCATACTATTCGTTCTCAGCAGTGCAGTTGTACCAAGACGGCTCCAGGATATCGCACTGGAGTCTGCGTTGCCGGCTTACACGAAGTCATGCAGGGAAGTTTTCTGCTGCTTTGGCACAAAGGCCAAGCATGTTTGCGGCACCTGCGGACACGAACTCCCAACTCGTTGCTGAAAGCCCAGTGTGCAGCAGCGTCAGCAGCACTGTTGCAGGCTCGCGCCTGAGTCTAAACTTTGACGAGGTAGCCTGGCAGCTGTGCGATCCGGACGCTGCTCAGCCGGAGCTTTCCAGAGCAAGGGGCACAGAGCGGGTCGATGTTGGTCGAAGGCATTGCATGGCTGGATCCCTCTCTCAGGTGGCAGAGTCTGGTAGAGAAGCGATGGACAAGCAGATGTTCGTAACCAACGTTTGGGGCCCAGCTTCGAGATTTGCATTCGCAGTCAAACCTGTTCTTAGAAGAGCCTGATCATCATCACCTCCCTGTCGTTCAGCTGGGAAAGCACGAGTTGGTTCGATCCAAGTTTCCCACAAGGTCGGTTGATCCTGAATCGATCTTGCAACGTGCACTGATGTTTTAAGAAAAGGTAGGGGGAAACTCGCTCGTCGGCGTTCCTTTCGCGCACTGTTGACATGAGCATGTTCACATCAGGTTGGACTCAGGAAATGTGAGCTGCGCACCGGCAATGTGCTCAGCAGCATCCGTGCTCTTCTCATGTCGGGCTTGTCACGCGATTACATGTGCACTCATCCTCAGGTTTCGATCCCAACAAGTACGATGTGTACTTAAGGCCCAGAGTGTACAGGTCGTGCATTGGGCGTGTCACAGTTGCCACTGTTCTGAAGGATAAGTGGTATCATGCTCGACGATGTCTCGACCGAGGTGGGGCACGACTTGTTGAATTTCTCATAGAGCCGATCTGTCACGCCTTTTCTTTGCATCGTTTCAGCGTTTGAAGCGATTCGGGCGAATACGCAGGCAGATACAGAGATGGTTGTCGAGGATTTCCCGGCCTGCTCCTCACGAAGTCCGCACTAAGAACTGCCACCAGATTCTGTTCTTTCGCTCCTGCAAATTACTGCTCACGTCGGAGCACCTCAAAGCTCGCTCACACACTCAGGAGCTCACTCACCTGCCCACTCATCCCTTTCTTTCTTCCTCGTTCAGCACCTCACCGCTAAGTTTTTCCTCCCCAGCGACTTGTTCTTCGGCAGCCACCACTGACAGCTACTGGCTAGCGGTCGCACGAAATAACAGGGTTCCTTCAAGTTCGGTGTCTCACTTTCACAGTGCCACCTCAGTATAAGGTTGTCAGGCGGTTGATGCCAGGGCTGGTCCATTCCAGTCTGTTGCCCTTAGGTTCGAGGCGTGGGAAGCGGTGCCGAGTTTTACTCTAAAGCCATTCCATGGACAAACAGTGAAGATGTTCTGCGCGAGCGGAGATATTTCAGTTTTTCCAGTGCGACTGAGTGACGGGCTGTGGGCAACACCAGTTTGGGCCTGGTTGCACGTTTTGCCGGATATCTGTAGTGGTGTGATGAACCTTCAAAACTAAGCAACGTATCGAAGAGGTTGCGATTGAAAGTCTTACGCCGGTAGAAGTTCTGCTTCAGTTCTCAGACGGATCGTCTCTTCCGCAGAGCATTTTCGGGGGAGTCGGGGGGGGGGCAAGGCCGCAGGGAAAGACCCTGCTCGTTGGAATGCCCACCGTCGCGAAGTGAAGTATCACGGCAAGCATGCTCTTCGCTTGACTTAGGTGCTTTTCTGTGTGGTTTCCTGCGTATTCCAGCTTTGGTACTCGCAATGGGGTAGCGGATGCGGTGAAGCGTGTGATGTTTGTTCGGTGGAATTCATATCGCCCGAAGCGGGTAACCTTTATCGAATACACCGCAATACCACTCATTCTGATGGGCAGACATGCTTTCTGGTTGCTGCTATCTGAAATGAAAAGGCGGAGCCGGTGGAGGAAAAAACCGACGGAAAGACCAAGCTCGGGCCCCGGTTGGTTGCTGCAAGCACATGGTAATAATATCACCCGTTGCATCTGCTGAAAATGTGCTGTCCCTAGGTGTCCAACTCTCGACATCTTTTGATCGACATCTAATTTCCATGGTGCTACGCTCTCTTTTCTCGTTTCGTGCCGATTGGTGTAGGTTGGCTGGGAAGAACGAACTTGAGTTGTTCTGTCCGGGCCAGCTGTTGAAATTTCTTCGATCGCCCACACTGGCCCGGATCAAGACGGCGAGATCTGCGACCACATCGAACTTGCCAACATATCCAGATATCCCTTATTCAATGGTAAGCTTTCGCTCACAAGATGCTAGAGAGATTAATTAAAGCCGTACTAGACTTGCTAGACTGCCTGACTTGCTCTATGCAACGAACAACAAGAAGGATCTTACCAGCAGAACTGTGCCGCCAGATGCAACCTGCGCGGGATATGATTCGGTTGGAACTGCTGCACGTCTATCGTAGGACATGCCTGATGCAGGCTCAGGTCCTGTTACGATGTTTGGTGTTGGGCCACGACTGTCATGTTTTTTGTTTCTTGAGATCACCGTCTCTGTTTCCCCGGCAGATTTTTCATGTGAGCCCATGTAGCGACCCCAGGAAGATCAAGAGCGTGCACAAGTTTCGCTTCAAGCGGGTAGCTCAGTTGCTCGCGAAAGCGGGAGATAGTTTCTCTTCCGGGTTGCGGAGGATGCCGAGCCAGCGCGATGCTCCTCATTTTTCATGGAGCCTGGTTGCCAGCAAGGCAAGGTCCCGCCTGCCGCCTACGTGAAGTGACTAAGTGAGTGTCTCTGGTGAGCTCTGGTGATGAAGGTCCTGCCAAGTCGCACTTTAGGATCCTGCAGCCCCAAGTTTCGAACGCTAGATCTTTGATTCTTTGCACAGATTCTTGTGTATGCATGGGTGGAACGCGACGAATTGTTGGCTTTGACCTGATGCCAGGTGGACCTTCTAACCTATGGCCTCCGAGCAGAGGCTCTCGTCCGCCCAAAGACTTTGCAGGTGGGTTGGCCTGGATCGTGGGAAGCTTCTTCTTTGGCAATGTTAGTGTTCGAGGCTGATGACGAGAGCACCGATGTTGAACAAGAGGAAACCAGCCTGGGCGTGTGGAAGGAGCCTCCTGCAGTCACCTACGCTGGTAACAACTGATTGAACGGCAAAACCTGTGAAGGATTCCCTTGCCAATCTTGATGACCGGATCACATATCGCAGTCACCAGCTCCTCGGTTAGCCTGTGGCTGTCTGGCATCCTGTGGCCGTGTACAACGCCGCAACGAGTGTGAGCTTGCCAGGCTTCACTTCAACGCATCTCTTCACAACAAAGAGGCGAAGACCAGTAGAATAGAAAGATGGTAGAAGACCAGCGAAATCGTTGAATACGCGATGTAACTATGCCAAAAGTCGGCTGGCTTGGGTCGCAAGCTTTTCACATGGAGGGCAACTGCGCGTCTGAAACATGGCAACAGTAGCCGGCACACAGTCGTGCTCTGTACAACGGCCTTTGTTATTGCAGGGGCAGGTTGCAGAGAGACTTCGCACCGGAACAAAGCCCGTCAGGGGGCGGGCGAGGCGACGGGTGTGAATGCAGTGATCCGCGAGACAGCCCGTGCTTCTGCGCTAGGAAGGGCTGCGCCAGAGTCAACGCAAAACCACGGTCCGTCCGCAAGGGAAAAAAGGGAAAACCCACTACCGGCACCAGTAACACTTCTGCCAAATCGCAGCAACCATAGTCTGCAGGTTTGCCAGCGCCTGCTGCTCAGCGGCCAATCGAATTTATTTACCGCACAACATGCGACGAGACAGCCGCGATGACAGCTGCCTGGCGGCGGGCTGGAAAGCACACAACACTTAAGCCACGGTGTTCCTGCCTACAGGCACCACTCCGCAAAAAAGGAGGAGAAGTTGAGGGACCAAGAACAGAAGCAAGACCACCGCCACTAGACACCATGGGGTGGGGCGGAAGGGGGGGAGGCGCACGTCCTGCATTACACAGATATACATATCCGTATATATATATATATATGTACACATACATGTTATGGTGTATGTGTGTGTGTGCGCATGTTTTGGTACATGTTGCTATCACTCACACACTCACTCACTCACTCTCCCCTCGCTCTCTGGCTCTCTCTTCGTCCCGCTTACTTTGAAGCCCGCGTGGTAAGAAGGACATGCGGCGTATCCCAAATGCATGTGTGAAGGCCAGCACAACAGCAAAGCTCGAGTTGTTGTGCGACATTTATGTGGACGGCCGTGGCCAAAGCTCCGAAGCTAGTCTACCCGAATGCTGTTTCCTCTACCAGTACTGGAGGAACGGAGCCCCACGACGAACCGGTCACTTTGTGCTTCGACTGAACTTGCATGCAGAAGCTCATCGGAGCATTTTGAAGTCGGCTGTAGGTCCAAGAAGCCCAACTTGGATGCCCATGTCTCGGTACACGGCACATTGACCACGTCCGTTGCTCTCACAAGTCTCTTTCAGGTCTTCGCTGGTCTGATGCGGAAAGGTGGCAAGCAGCAGGAGCAGCTCTTCTACGCCACGGCCTTTGTTCTGATGTATTCTCCTGTCAGGGAGACAGGAAGGTGTATTGTGAGAACGATGTGACAGTCGGAGGTCTCGGTGGCTGCACTGGGCTTGAAGCATTGGTGCATCTCCCGAGATGGTTCCGTGCCAGAGTTTGGCATTTGGGGTTTGCTTGGACATCAGGTCGAATCCGATCTTGAAAGTTTTCTCAGCAGCGGGTGTCAAGGAGGCGACAAAGCCGGATGCCCAGCACCGGTACTTGAAAGGCTCCGCTTTTTCAGCAGTTGCCACTCCAGGCCCAGCTATGACGAGCAGGAAGATCTGACTACATGGCAGGAGTGCTTGGCTGCGGGGGCCCTTCGTGTTCCGCTAGTGGCAAAGATGCGCTTGGGTGTTCTGTCGCTTGAAGTGTGTGTGGGGTGCCGCAAAGGTCGCGACGTCGAGGACGAGCTCAAAAGTTCGGTTTGAGATCTGGAGTGACATGTCCTCAGTCCGTCAAATCCACGCTGTAGCTCGTGAGCCGCAAGAAGCGCAAGCCACCCGAGCTGCAAGGAAGCGACCATTTCGCAACCCGGACAACTAATTGCACAGGTGCCGGGACTCAATCAAGTGTTCACCGTTCATAATTCCGTCTTGCGAGGCCGTAATTTCTTCGGCAGCGCCAAACATCAAGAGGTGGCCCTGCACTTAGAGGCAACTGCTGGAGAGGTCAATGAGCGCAGACTGGCATTCCAAGTCCCGAGTATAAAACAGAATGAATGCGTGCAGCCAACCCAGTGCCACTTGCTTTTGCTGTGAACCTTGGCCTGGGCTTTGGATGGCTTCTGAATTGCAAGCCTTTCGTGCCCTACCAAATCCCCTCCCCCCACCTCGCCAACAGGGCATGTTTTTTCTTTTGCCCGCCCCTAGCCACCCCCCTTAAACCCAAAGTATACCCTCCTCACGCCTATTCCACCCCCATGCTCATCCGTTCTGATGTTGTTTTTAAACATCGCCGCGCGTTCACGAGTCCGGCTGGTGCTCCTGCCCTACCTGCCTACAGCCAAACCCCGCCTTCTCCCTATCTACCATCAGTCGATAAATGGAAAACAACCGGTCCATGGGCTTTCATGAAATTGGGCTGGAGAGCCGCGTTTCGTGCCAAAACATTCCCAGAATACTCCCGCAGTTTGTAACTCCCGATCAATAATGTTGGCACGCCACTGTTCGATGCAAGCGTCTTTTCTGCGTATCGGTCTTGTGGCTCTGACGTGACAGCCCGGTGCTCTGTTGATCGTGATCTCGCTGGCTCAGGAGACATCTCTACGGTGCAGCCCGCGATGGCAATCTCGAGACACAAGCTGAGCTGATGGTTCGAGGCGAAGCTCAAGCTGAGACTGCGACAGAGAGTGCGATGGACTGCAGAACGAGCTGGCGCCAGGCCGACTGCCAGCAAGTACATGGACCGGCTCTCTGGCACGCCTCCCAGTCCTAGCGCCTCACCCACGCAGGAAACCTGTTCTAGAGACCTGAAGTTAGACAACCTGTGGCGATGCTTGCCTGCCGTCTAAGTTGGTTCATTTCACTCAGCGGGCCGTGGTCCGTGGGGGCCTTGGGGTCCTGGCTTTAGCTTCGTGGATACGGTAGGGCGATGTCACGAAAGGTGTCGACCTGAAGGATGCCATGGTGGCAGAATCCATGAAGTGCTTACCCCACTGGTGTTTTCCACCCTTTTACGGACGGAAGAGAGACTGTTGCTCCAGGGCCATTCTGAAAGTGCGGCTGCACCGTGGGCTCTACCTTGACTGGCCAGCACCCAAAGTCAGAGCTGCAGATGCCTGCAGATGCGTCCGAGTTCACACTGGCCTTGGAGGTATGCTAACCAGAACGTCACTATCCTGGTCCAGCTCGCAGGCGAACTTGGTACTTGCAGACGCTCGCAGAGCTCAAAAGGGGGAGGAACCATCGTGAAAGTTCACTTGTCTCATGCAAGAATCAAAGCAGCGGACGCGGTCATTCACTCATGTGCAGGCTGCTACCAAGAAGCAAAATCGAGCAATGGAGCGTCCTCTACTCGGAGACTTTCGTGGAGTCTTCAGACGCAGACAGTGGCCTTTGCGCCCGTGCTGTTAGGCCGAGGAAGAACTCGAATCTGCTGTCCTTTCCCGGCAAGGTTCCTCCGAGTCTTCTTTGTTCTCGAGTCGTGAACCCTGTCCGCATGGGTGATCTTGAACGGCCATGCTCGTGCATCAACGGTGAACTCTTGCGCGATTCGCACTTCGAGCCTCTCTCATGCTGCCGTGTTCTGGGCTCTGTCAGTCTGCTCCTAGACTGCACTGCCCCGTCGCAGAAGCTTTGCACAGTAAGCGCGGGCTCGCTCCAGAGGGGTGTAACAGAAATCATCTTGCAGAAACCAGTCCCCGCAACGGAAACCGGTTGATTCGATCAAGCCTGCGGGTCCTCGGTCCAGTCGAAAAGGCTCGGTTGGCACAGGCCCAGTTTCTGACGTTACGAGGTGAGGCTGCGCGGTCTCGCATAGTTCTGAACGGTTTTGGTGTCTTGCATACTGTGGACATGTAAAATCCGGATTCCCGTAATCAGGGTTCAAGCCTTGGAAAGCCTTGGTCCTCTTCCGCTTCCTCTGTGACTCCTTGATCCTGTATTGGTAGGGAGCACGCGCCAACATCAACATCAACTCGGCACCGTATTTGTGCATGCCTGCGAGATCCTGCGAGTCCTCCCTGCCGGCATAGGCCGTCATTGCATCTTGTAGCTCCTGTCCAAGTGGAGGTTTCCGAGAAGGGACTGCTGCAGTTTTTCGACGACAAGCCAAACGGAGGCAGCCTTGCTGCAACAGCTTTCGATCAGCTGGTCCTGCACTCAGAATCCGCTCAGGACTCTTCTCCAGCCAGGTGGGTCATATACTTTGCCAAAGTCGAATCCGAAGCGCACCGTCGCTTCCAGGATGCCATGCCAGCGTGGGTTGAGAGAGAAACCTCCAAGGCGCACTGAGCTTGGGGGCTTAATTGGCAGGCATGGCATATCGTGGCACCCTCGCGTACTGCTGGAGAGGTGCTGGATCTCCCGAAAGACGTCAGCCATGCTTACCTCTACATCGTCAGCAAGGGTGACGAGGAAAATTGCAGCGTGTAGTCAGTTGGTCCTAGAACAGTTGACCTTCACAGTCTCAGGATTTACCGCCTTTGGCGTGGGCCAAGTTTCCGATTTCCGTGCCAATGTCTTAGTGAATCATTTTCGTTCATGTGTCGAAAGTTCGGGCAATTTGGTAGAGGCAAGCGCTGAACACAGCGCAGTGGACACCCGTGAGATTCGACCAGTCAGTTGTGAAGCTGCCTGGGGCCCGGAGATCGCTGCAACTTCTCGAGAGATGATAGCAAGTGCATGCAATGTCACAGCGGGAGCCCCGAAGCACTGCTCAGGAACGGCAGCAAGTCGTACCACGAAGACATGGCAGGTGGAGAATGTTGAGCGAGTTTCTGCAGGTGGTGAACATGATCATGATGTTCAGCCTCTTGTCCAGGAATGCTTCTGGGCAGCGTCTGCATACAGACTGGCGAGGAGCCGGTGTTCAGGGCAGCCAAAGCCCATGCAGGGTGCTGGAGCTTGTCTTGTGCGATTGCCAGTCCTCCACGTATGTTGCTAGCTAGAGAGTGGCGTGTTAACGAATACAAGCTTGAGATGCACGAACTCCGAAAACTAGGGAGGTGCGTTGGGAAAGCATGCCGGGGGAATTCAAACAAAAGCACGGGGTTCAGAGTTTAAAAGATGGATCTGGAAGCAGCCACGTCTTCACTGTAGTTATACGAGAGTGCGGGGAGCGCAGAGGGAGAAAAGATCGATGAAGATCGCAATGGGAACCTTTCCTAAGGCTCCCTCGATGAACACTCCTTAAACGCCGCAAATGCTGGTGCGGTGAGTAATTACATGTGGGTTGAGTGTGGAGGATGACCTCGACGAGTCAGCTACTCAGAGCCCAGGGTGACTGAGGCATGAGTAAATTGTAACTTTCGGTAAGTCTGAAGCAGAGACCTGGACTGCGGCATTGGGTTGGAGGCTGTGAAGATTAAAGTCTGACTTCAGATCAATCAGGAGAATGAATCTGGTCTTGTGCTGGACTGGAGCCCGTTGAGCCACCAGCCAGTTTTGACTGTTGACGGGCATTGTTTCTGACCTGTTTTCTTTCGGGGGTGGGGATGCGATGTAACATCCACTCTGCTTTTGATTGCATTCTTGCCGACTGCTTACGGACCCTTGTTGTCTGGGTGCTTCTTTGCAGGCTTCCTGTCCATGAGCTCCGCTGGTTCCTATGTAATCGGAGTGCAGTCTCAGGAATCGTGCAGCTCCTTCTGGAAGTCCTGCTTCCATTGACCCGGTGGAATCAGTAAAGGAGGTCAAGGCGCTGAAACTCTAAGTGCGACTGGATTGGAGGGGCCATGTGACCTCCAACCGTGAGGACAAACCCTGGCCTGAGATGCAAGAGGAGGCTCCTGTGGTGCCACAGCCCCAGATTTTTCTGGACGTAACTCTTGAAGCCAAGTGGGGGGGAAATCTGAGGACGCGACCTTTCTCTTTGTTGTGCTCTGCGGTGGTGTGCTGCACAGATTTTCGGATCTAATCTCTCGAACTTCTGATTGCCCTGACTCTGAAGGGCGAGACCCACTTGAACGTGGGCTGTCGGGGCAAGGTGACGACTGCCGTTGGTCGTGAGCTCAGACACCCGCTTTTGCGACGCTGGGGAACTCCGAGTTGAGCTCTAGTCTTGTGACACCAGGAGAGGTGGAGACGAAGGAGGCCAGCAGTGATTCAGCAGGGTTTGTTCTCTTTGTGCCAAGCGCGCACAATTCACGATGCCAGTCTCGGCTGCAAAACCTCTATTCTATGTGCATCCTTGCTGCTGCTCAGGGGGTTTCCAATCAGGATTGAGCTCGATGCCGCGGATCAGAAGTCACGGTTGTTCGGGTGATTTCGGGTGGGACTCAGGGAGGTTCTTCTGGCAGGTGACACCCATTTGCTTCTTGACGAGCAGTTGGGTCTTCTGCCCGCCAGGTGTACATCCACCTCGATGTGCTGGCAGCCAGGTCATTGCCGTCTGGTGACGAGGTGCCACGTGTGGGCTTGGCATAACCGAATGTGCGCCGTTTGTCTTGCATGCAGGATGGAGTTCCCGACGCTTGCTATGAAGTGAAGGCTCGCCGTCCGGACGTATTGAATGTGCGGTGCAAGTGGTTTTACCGTCTTCATCCGTGTCTGAGCTGTGCTGTGGATCGGAAGGTGGGAGATCAGACAGCGGTGCTTCACGACAAAGATCCCTTCTGCCGCTTGACTGTGTCTGACTCCATATCTCCTCTTCTCGTTCGAGTTGATCAACATCCACTCCATCAAGCCTTGTGGCACCCAACGGCCGGTGTTATGGAGAGCGCCTCTGTGGCTGTCTCCCTCTGAACTCGCCCAAGGTGTCCTCATTTAAGGGAATGTGTTTGCGGGTGGATGGTTCCATTTGGCTCAGCATCCTGCAAGAACATGGCAAGTGAGCATGTGCACCTACCCCAGCTCAGGCTCCTTGGATCCAGTTTTCATGGATCGCCTCACGATCGGGCCAGTCAAAGCCGAGGCACTGACTCGAGTGCATCGGACCAGAACCAGACTGAATGGCAGCTTCATTTTCTAGGTCCTAAAGGGGCCGGATGGCGAAGACGAGTCCCGCACCTGGGGGTTTCGCTTGTGATGCTTCGGTCTTCCATGAGCGAGTCGGAGGCTGGATCTGCCACCCATTGTCGTTCGTGTGTCAGCTTCTCAAACTTTCCCATATGTTTTAAACATTGCATCTAAACTTTAGATGCAAAGCTCTCGCCGCATGCTTCAACCTTGCAGGTTGGACAAGGACTACCACACGGTCAGCTCCAGCTTCGAGGTGTTGGGCCGTGCAGCTTGCCTGGCATGCTTCGCAACGTCTTGCAGCGTGCAGCAGCGTGCAGCAGCTTTGCTGCAGCTTGCTGATTAAGCCACTGTTGGAAGTCTTACGAGCGTCCTGGCCAGATTATCAACAGTGTGCCACTGTTAGAGTTTGCCGAAGACGACGTGTCCCACGCGTCGAGCTTACCAAGTGTCCTTCGCAAGATTTCTCGGCACACATAGCCACTCACCAGGTCGGAAAAGGAGGAGAAGCAGGCGTTAGCAAGCTCGACGCTTTTCTCAACAAGCATCATGCAGCTGTCGCGATCTCAGGACTACTCAGCAGCCAAGTTGTCAGAAGTGCTAGACAAAACACTCGATGATGTCGCTCGAGCCGTCTAGGACCTGTAGGTACGTATGTGTTTATGTATGTATGTACGTAGGCAGCATGCAATCATGAATGGAACAGAATGTAGGTGCGCATGCATGCATGCCTCCGTGCATGTGTGTGTGTGTGTGTTTGTGTGTCTGTGTGTCTGTGTGTGTGTGTGTGTTGTGTGTGTGTGTGTGTGTGTGCGCCTGCCTGCATGCATGTGTGGCCAGATCGTGCCGACAGATTACGTGAGGGCTTCAGAATGTGCTCCAGGAGTACACGACGACGACAGGCAACATTGGCTCCACCCACGGGATCCCCTCAACAAGCACAGGAAGGTGGAGGTCAGAACCGCATTCCTGTTTCACCGAGATCTCGAGATATGGTGACGCAACATCAGGTCTTCGAAACACTTGGCCAGATGTTGCTTTGGCTGCCTGTCTGCCTGGCTGTCTGTATGTGCGTACATGCTGTATGTATGTATGTATGTATGTCTGTATGTATGTATGTATGTATGTATGTATGTACGTGTTTATGTGTGTGTCAGCATGTGCATATGTAGGTAGGTACGTAGGTAGGTAGGTAGGTAGGTAGGCTAATATGCATGTACGTGCGTCCGCAAAAGTGTAAGTGCTTCTGCGCGTGTGTGTGTGTGTGTGTGAACTACATGTTGCTTGCATTTGCCTCAATTTCACCTCTTTACGTTTTGATATCTTCCTCATACCTGTATCTTTTCCTTACTTAATAGCTTCGGCTCTGTCTCTTTAGCTCCCGGTCTCTCTGTTTCTCTTGTTCTCTTTCCCTCTGTTTCTCTCTATCTCTCCGGCTCTCCAGCTCTCTCTTTAGGCCTCTCAACCTCTATCTTTATCTTCAGTTTTGTCTTCAACTTCATCTCCTATTCCTATCCTTGCCTCATCTTTATACCTCTGCTTATTCTTGCTTGTCCTTGTCATTGTCCATGTCCTTATCTGTTTCCTCGTCCTTACGTTCTCTTCATCTCCATCTTCGTCTCTTCGCTGATTCCCAGGTAGTATTAGGGAGACCACTTAAAGGGGACCCTTCTTAACCCTAGAGGCTCTATCCCCAAGGGTCCCTCTGATCCTAACTCTTACAATCCGGCTCGTCATCTTGTCTCATGTTCGTTCCAATGTTGTCGCGTCTGATCTTACCCTCCCCTGCCTTGCCTTGCCTTGCCTTGCCTTACTTTCCCGTTCCTTACCCCCTCTATCTTTACGTTGGCCTTGACCTCGACCTTGACCTTAATCCTGAGCTGGTGATGGGTGATAATATTATCTTTCGGTGTATTAAGTGTATTAAGTTGAAGCATACTGCGCTTTGAATGAATGAATCTGATGTATGTTGCGCTCCGTGTCTCACTGCTTGTTGATGAGGTCTGGTACGCACTGAATTCTGACCTGCGGCTGAAGTTCCGTCGAAATGCATTTGGAGCAGACGCGAACTCAGCCTGTCGACAAGAAGAATGTCGACGATAGGCAGGCTTGGTTTGAGCGTGCACTGGAGTGTCTTCTGCTGAGTCTGCGGACGGCTCCTGGGCGCATCGACCCCGAATGCTCATGGCCGCAGGACACATGGAGAGCCAGTAGCTGCTGTGACAGTGCTTGACGATATGCCCCCTACATGCAGGATACACCGAAGCCAGTAAAACAGACTCATACATCGCGAGCTTGAAGAAAGCGAAGACGAAGCCGCCACACTGGCAAACCTCGGCTCGCTTCATCTGCAAGGGCAGCTCACGAGTTACCATTCCTCGAGCTCGTTGCAGGTGCTTCCAGCAGATCCAGACGGAGAGACACGCACCCATCTCGGCTTCCTGAATGCTTCGTGCATGTGCTTGGACAGTGCGTTTCTGAGACTAATTCGGCATAGGAGCCTGATTCTGAGGCTTGCTACAAGATAAGGGTTGACGTTCTGGGCTTGAGGTCCCTGGCCCATCCTGGCCCGCGACTACCGCGTAATCCCATCGTGTGCTATGCAGTGATGCAGGTATCTGGAAGCTTGGGCGGGGAGCAATGAGAACGTCGAGCTCGAAGTCGTGCACGGGCCTCGAAGTGCTCTACAGCTTTATGTCGAGCCTACACCTTGCCTTGGGCGGAGGCCGTTTTGGAAGTCGCAGAGTAAGAAGCGCGACAAGAAGGTCTTGCGCCTTTATGACAGCAGAACAACGAGGCCTGCGCAGATGCTTACACCAGGATGCGGATGCGTGCTACCCTGGAAATGCAGTTTTCTGGAGTCGTCGGACCAGAACCCGAACTTCCAGACAGCTACCAAGGCTCGACCAGAATCGGTCCAACTCACACAGTCCCGTGCTTGTGTCTTGGATTCCTGTGACAGTTCGATGGAGAATGCAAAGACTACATGAAGAAGATGGAGCAGCTCCTTCTTTTTCAGGTGCGAAGTCATTGCAGAATCGTATCCTCATCATGTGGTGTCCGCAGTTCGTTTTTTCGTGTGTTTCTGCATGCGTGTGGCAATAGCTCCGACAGTTGACACGCTAATCTGGTGAAAACGCCGTTTGGGATCAAGTTTTGTGCCTGTTTCTCGAGTTGCTTTCGCAATGTGCGCAGCTCAGCATGTTGAGCCGCGTCTCGGGAGCGAGGAAGTCAAGTTCACGATCAGGCCGCAGACTTTCAAGAACAGATGCGGCTCCTCCTCGTGGAGACCTGATGCCGTTGCTTTGAAGAAGCGAGCTCTGCAATGCAAGGTTTCTGCAGATCCGACAGAGCTTGACTTCAGGCTGCGGCAATTGTCGGCTGCGCTTTGGCAACCGTTTCTGCAGCAAGAGCAATAAATGCCGCCTGGACGAAGGATTTCGTGGTTGTATTTCGGGTTTTTTGCTACCATTCCTGCATTGCTTCCGTCCAGCTCTCCGCACAATCCGTTGCTTGCCTAGGATTGCAGCTTCGTGGCACCTGGCCGAACATCACTGGGACGACCAGCTGCTTAGCCTAGGGAGAACTGAGGCAGGCAGGCAGGACAGGAGCTACAGATGCAAGACATGGTTTGCGAGCAGCCCCTGTTGCCGAGCACCCTAGGCTTTGGCACATTCCGGTCATCCGGTGCCTTGCATGACAGGGTGTCTGGAACCTGCTCGACCGATATCGGACATACGAAATCTTCGGCATCCTAGGTGCTCCAGAGGACGTCTTTCTCAGTCTCGAAAGGGCAGGCCATGCTTGCTCTGACGGGTGCGGCATCGGCGTGTGCGCTACGCCTTAGAGGCGCTGTCCAATTCATGAATGCAATTTCATCGCACATTGCATCAAGACGCCGTGGGAACAACAGTTTGCCGTGGAGGAGTGCGAGGCAAGCAGATGGCGCTGCGAGCGCGGGGTGGTGCAGCTTGGTGCGCACTGGTAGGCTGTTCGGTACATTACATGTGAGCTTCCAACTTTTTGTGGACCAAGGACCAAGACTACTATGAGGTCCTGGGTGTGAGCAAGAACTGTTCGGAAAGGCTTGTTTGCTTCGTGAATTCATGTCTGTGTCTTCCCGAACACGCCAAGAGGCTGTTGTGAAACGATCGATTATGCTGAGCGCAACGATGCATGTGCACAGAAGGACACCTGCAGGTTGGCGTAACAGGCAATTTGACGGAAGCTAAGAGAAGCACGAAAAGCACGAAAGACCAGCACCAGCGAAATTGCAACGGTAGCAGAGCGCGAAGGGAGACTCTGGCGTGCAGACGCGTCATGGAGAGATGTGCACAACCGTTGCGAGTTTGGAATCCGCCCAACCATCGAATGTGGTTGCGCTGCATCAACGACAGATCCACAGGGAGGGAGGCAGGCATCAAGCGACACAAGGTTCTTTCTTGTTCAAGGCCGAAGGCATGAAAACGGGAGGGCGAGTGACAAACCTAGACCACGCAGCTTTGGTTCGCATTCTTACTTGGCTACGCCCTGCCAAGATACAGGGAAGGGACCTTTTGGTGGAGTGCTCGGACTGTCTGAGGTAGCTGCATGTTTCAGGTATGAAGGTCTTTTAGGCGGTTTGAGATCTTCGGCTGCTCGCCTGGAACACTTGCACGCTGTCAGCCTTCACTTGGCCGGTCACCGGGGTGTGCCGGCGACTTGCCGAAGCCAGGGATCTCAAGACTGCTTTCCGCAAGCTCGCGCGGCAATGGCACCCAGTGCTGGGCTGAGATGTTTTGTGATGTGACCAGTACTGTCGGTGTTGGCTCCGTTGACTCCACTTCGACTGACTGCGACCATGTTCGACTTGCGCCTCCAAGGATGTGAATAAGGAGCCTGGCGCGCAAGAGAAGTTCCAGAGCATAGCGAAAGCCTACGAGGCGCCCCGCTGTTGAAGGAAGGCCGCATGTCATGGCAGGCTGCAGCAGGCACAGACTGGAGAAGCTGAAATCCTTTAAGTGTTTGGAGCATCTGAAGTAGAAAGTGATAGCCTGTATCGTTTTCGTCTCAAATGCTGTTGGCGTGGCAAGGTCTTGTCCGATTCGCAGAAGAGACAGATGTATGATCAGCGCCCTTGTTGCAATTCAGACGAAGCATAAATATATATATATATATATATATACACATACATATACATAGACATAGACATAGACATAGACATAGACATAGACATAGACATAGACATAGACATATGCATATACGTATACATATACAGATACATATACATATACATATACATATACATATACATATACACACATATTGTAGTATATATGATATCTGTACATATTTGATTTGTATGATATATGGTATATGTATATGTATATATATATATATATGTGGATAGATACAGGCAGACAGACGGACGGGCAGACACAGACAGACAGACAGACAGACAGGCGGAGGGCAGACACAGACAGACGGACGGACGGACGGACGGACCCAGTCAGGCAGGAAGATAGACGGACAGACAGAGAGACAGACAGACAGAAAGACAGAGAGACAGAGAGAAGACAGAGAGTCGCGCTTGCATGCAGAGGTTGTGGACCCGCTTCCCCCGCGATAAACGCCGAGCAAGCAAACAAGCAAGAGAGAGAGAGAGAGAGAGACAGAGCGAGAGCGAGAGCTGTGCCTTTCAATGCGGCCCTCGACGCGACGGAGACTCGGCCTACCCACGAATCACTATTGAAGCAAGCAAACACCATGCAGCCTGACCACCTGAGACAAATGCTGCACCTGAACAGGTGGACGGGAGCCTACGAGCCGCACGTGTACAGCTCCATAAGCGTGGGCGGGTCAGGTGGAACATCCATATTTTGCAGCAATTCTGGAAATTTTGGGGGCACATGGCCCGAGGCGGGGAAGAAGTCACTTCCATGCTCAAGCGGGGGGTGCGGCATGCAGCAATACAACAGCCAACTTGATGTGGAAAGGGCCCTCCAACGCACGGCCGGAGAAGCCTGGATGGAGCGAGCACTCCAGTGCACAGCCTGGAGAAACCTTGCACCCGAGTTCGTGTGCAACAGCACGACGTCCTTTACGCGACAGGACAACAACCAACCCTCACCAACCTAGCGCCAATAGGTGCGCGCCCGGCCGACTACTGGCACTACACCACGAATGACGGAAGAGCGAACCTGACAGTGGTGAGCAGCAGCTCAAACAACAATCCCCCAGACATGCAAACCAACCACACAAGCCCGGGGTGTCAAAAGCAACCACCATCACTACAGCAGGGGGAGTGCACCAGGAGGACACAACCACTGAAACCGTGACAGGGGTGGAGCGGCGGCTGAACAAAACACAGAAAGCAGAGGATTGGAAAGAGGGCAGTCGCAACACATCCACAGCCACACAGTTCCTACAAGCACGTTGTCAGCCGTTGCCAAGCCTTGTTCCGTAACTTGACGACCCTTTGCAGCAGCGCGCCGCCACCTACACCACAGCCACCTTTTCACCTGGCGCAGACACATAGGGGTTGCCATAGGGGGTTGCCGCCACACAGCTGCCTCAAGCAATAAGCCCTCACCTTGCATATGCTGCATGCCGCTCAGACTTCGAAGTGGCAGCCAGGCACCAGCTCAAGCAAATGAATAGCAGGTGAAGGAGCAAGATGGAGGGGGAACTCCTTTTCTGTCGTTACTGCGCCAATGGCTGCGTGGGGAAGCACTACAAACACGTGCCTGCAGACCCACGCTGCAAAACCACAACAAGCCTACCCTTGCCCACGGCTCCACTGAGAGAAGCCAAGTTAGCAGAGCAAGCCCGGCGGGAGAGGCACCAATCTCGGAGGAGAGCAGTGGGGGGAGCTCGTCGACAAGTTCGAGCCCACCTACTGAGAACCGTCTGCGGGGAACGTCAGAAATCCGCAAAAGGGTGCGGAAACTGGTCCGACCTCTATATGAACGTCGATGGGGGGTGACGACATGGTCGGGAGCAGCACACGGCAACTCTTGTGCCACCCCCCAATCGGGAGAAACCCACTCACAAAACCAACGCGAAGACCTGGCAGATGAATTGTTCAATCAGGCTTACAGCTGCCTGATGGCCGCGACTTTGTGGGGGGAGGCTGGGGGGGCCATGCAGTCCTGCGCTGAGACCCCCTCCTAGCCAACTCGTCGTGGTGCGCGTATCGCATCCGATGGCACTCCCAGTTGAAGCTGTCCGTTGAGGAGCCGCAAGCTGTTGACGACCGCTCATGCAGCAGCACAACGGGCACAGTGGGGAGCAACACAAGACGAAGCTCCACCTGTTGACAACGAGCGGGAGGCCACGAGCAGTGGCACCACCCGTGGCAAAGCCAACGAGCAGGCCGGGGGGAGCGAGGACTACCACACCGAGCAGGTCGGCGAGCAGACGGTGACGAACGACGACTACCACACCAAAGCTCCACAGGGGGAAGTCAAACGAGAAGTGGAATCGCCTAACTGGACAGACCCCACCCTGGACGAGCCATGGGGGACACCGCCAGAATCCGCCACAGCTCCATGCAAAGGGAGCGAACTGCAGTCTTCAGTGGGACAACTGACCTCGACGCGCCATGGACGACGCCGCCTGACTTCGTTATGGGGGACGAAGGTGCACCTTCTACAGAGGGGGGAGAGCTACCAACTATTACCAACTGACATGGTCAACGTTTACAACCCAGTGGACGAAGCAGTGGCCGCAGTCTTTCACGACGTGAACGTGGGCGACCTCCAACGGGAATGGAAAGTCTCAGCAGCGACCGACAACGACAGCATGGACGACACCGGAGACAACCAGACCAAGCAGACGACGGATGCCAACGACAACCAAGCAGCGGGGAGGCCAACCAGCGCCGCAACCTCAAAATGGGTAAGCTCAACGTCAAATTGCCCGTGCCTGCAAGCCATGGAGTGCCTCGGGGGCTGCAGGGCTGCACTCCCTCGAGGTAGCCCAGCGGCCAAGGTATTCCGTGTAGCCCAGCAAGCTGACACGACTAAACCAAGCCGGGGG